ATTCAGGGATAATGAAGGGATGGCCGTTATTGAATCTCGTAGTTTGGGGGAGGGTTGAAGAAAGGGAAAAACTTTGAATTATGGTTTTCACATTAAATTATATTTCCAATCGGGTTAGATGGTTGGGGGTGCAAGGTGGTTAAGTTGTCTTCACATCTATGACTGCGTAAGGCGTCTATGAGGTACTTTCCTAGATTTTGACCGAGAGACAGAGGGGACGGTAAGGATAAACCTTACAGGCCTTCCATGTACCATTATTCTTTTTATGAAACTTGAGTTAGTATCTTAACATCGTATAGAAATGTGACCTTTTGACTTTTCTTGAGGAACACGTCCAATTTTATGAATGGTAAAACTGACTTAAATAATTGCACAATATTTTCCTTACCAAATTTTTCGGCACACGACATTCGGTGTAAAGTTGCCATTGTCGCCTGGGTATCGGCCTCGTCGGGATCGAGGCTCGATCTTCACCTCGACATCTTGCAAGCGTCGCACTCTTCAGAAGGCTACATGCAATTGACCATACCATGGGAAAATACAGGTTCGGGAAGGTAGTTAGGTTAAGCAAACTTACAAACTGAAACCGAGAACAACTATCAGTACCGCTTTCGTTATGCCTAACCTTTGACAGCGGAAAACTAACGCTTTCCGTAGCAGCCCAGACTGAGCTTGAGGCAATTGCAGGCCTTGTTTACCGTTTAGGTTTCTTATGAGCATGGCGATTGTACCATGCTCTAAAGTCAATTTGTGGGGAGCAAGCCTAGCTGGATTGAGACTGTTGATGAACTCCATTGAATTATTATTTCGCTCTTCTTCATTATCAGAGGCCACACTGTCGACGCTATAATTTGTCTTCGACTCTCCATCCAGTAGTGACTCCATGATTCTTTCGTTAACCTGATGGCAGTGTTTATTTTTCGGCAGAGTATGGCGCATTCAGCGAAGTCTTTTACATTTTCTGATGTGCAGTTCCTGCCGAAAACATGCTCGATGAGGTCACCGTCGTACAGGCAGTTGCATTCGTCTGGAGCACGTATGGCGTCTTCTGGTATTTCGGGGAACGTCTGAGGGCGACCGTCTCCTAATTTCAACAGCCATTCGCTGAAGTCTTGTTCGCATGCTCCAGTTCGCATGTTTACTTGCAGTTTTCGTTGGACTAACGCTGACTGACTTCCACGGCGTATCACAGGTCAGAAACGCCAGAAATCGCCTCCGAATACAACAACTTTTCCCCTGAAAAATACGGGAACATCTCGAAGTAGACGGTCCAACGTGTTGAGGGCGAGTTCAGGAGCCATGGGAATTTCATCCCATATGATGATTTATGCCTTTCTGAGCTGCTCTGCTTCTCTGCTCTTTGGCTTAATGCTAGAAACCGACGTTTCAATAATTGGCACGGGAAGATGGAATACATATTTAACTGATAAAAGAAATCGCAAAAATGAAAGAAATTCAGTAATTTTGCTGATTTTGACAAATGAAAAATACCTATTTATACAATAATAACCGGACTTATTTCCATATGTGTACATGGAACTACTTTCAAGTAAGTGACACTTTTATTTTTTCAGAAATCTATATGCATTAGTTTAGGAGATGTGGCAAATTGAAAGTGGGGGAAAAGGGTTTCCAGGGTTTCCCAAGGTCATAAATTGATCCGTCCCAACTTGGGACTCGATGGAAACGAGATATGTAATCTCGTTTCGTCTCGGACTTCCGACACGATTGGCAGGCATGGATCTTGTCATTTCTCACGGAAATCCTAGGCGCTCTGAAACGGGGGGGGGGGGGAAATTCAGTTGGCCAATAGCCAATGGCCTTCTTTCTCTGAGGTCTGCTTTCGGATTGCCCAGGTTGTACTCCGTTCACCCTGGTAAAAAAAAGAAAAAAGAATGGGAACGCCTCTCGGCTCGCCACGGTGTGGACGTGATAGACGTGAGACTTGCAAGGACTATTCCGATGGATCTCGTAAGCTGATTCTTAGCGACGGGAGTTCATTCCTCCCCTTCGATGCTAAGCGTTCGTCCAGTTTGTACCTAAGTTGATTGGGCTCCGATTTACGTCAGTAACATGTAATATCATTTTTTGACGACCGTAAACCCGCTTGTACAAGGTCACATAACTCCATGCTAATAGTACATGACCTCGTTTAGTTGGATCGGCCTCGAGCGCAAGCATCTCGACGGATCACGTGTGACGAACAATGTCATTAATGCTATTGGACTCAGCATACTCCTTTGGGGCAGTGGTGTCGATAGAAAAGCGCTTGCTCGGTGTGGTGGCAAGAAGAAGAAGGGTCTTTTTGCCAGCCATGTTCCACTCGACCACTTGGAGCCGGTCCACCTGAACCATTTGTCAATGGGACGACGCGCGACTCCATACATCCGCCGCTGTGAAGGACTTCATGACCCAGCGTAACATCACAATGCTCTTTCTAAGTCCGTACAGCACGGACTTCAGTCTGTGCGACTAGTTCCGCTTTACTCAAATGAAGAACGACTTCGAGAGGAGTTTTCAAAGACCAGATTGAGGTGAAGGAAGTCGCGTTACAGTGGGCTAGGACGCTGGAGGAGGAGGCCCTCAACGAGGACGTCGGGCGGCTACTGGACCATTGCCAAGATGTCATAGACTCGGGAGAGGACTACATTACGCATTAAAACGGTGGCGGCACTGAACGGGGTATCTAAAAGTGGGTTCCAGTTCTGTTTCGAGGAACTTTACCGACGTTGGCAAAAGGGTACAGAAAGCCAGAGCCACCACTCTGAAGATGACACAACAACAGTGCCGTAACGCTCACCGTTCGCGTGCAATAAACCCAGTCTCGAAACTTTTTGAACCTACCTTGTTTAAGTTTATGCTGAAAGTAATTCGTTATGGAGAGAGTAAGATTCCCGGAGTTTCAATTTTATTCTTAAGCTTTTTTGCTAGAATTATCAGATTTGTGATTCCAGGAAATTTAGCTTTTCATTTTGCTGTGCTGCTGTCTGAATGCATCGTATTCGCGCATCTAGTATCGCTCAGATTCTGTAATAATCAATGAGGGATGCAATACTTTCGAAGAATAGAGTTTTCCGTGACCACGACATGGTAAGACAGAATTCGATCGCCATGCACTCACAGCTTTAATAGAAACTCGAGAAGGAGCCGACGGTGAAGATCATTGAGACCACAGAAACTGACACTCGGTGGTCTGTCTCAAAATTTAATAATGACTTCCCACATCTTCAACGGACAAAGGGATTGTATTCTTCTTGAAATGGACAAGACTCATCAGAAATACAAGAGCTTGAACCTTCCCCTTATATCCAGCTGCGGGCGCTGCTTGAGACCTCCAGCCTTGTCAGCCAGGTCAGCCACTTTGTCATGCACCTTCACAGAAGGACGTTCCGGAATCCCTTAACAAAAGCGACTTTTGGCTTCACAAACATGGTTGACTGGGAAGAACTCACCTCTCTCATGAGACTTATGAAGTCCATTTGGTTCATACTTCCATGATGAGCTTCAAAGACATCGCAGATGGATTGAATGTACCATGATCCGTCCTCGGGCCTGTAGGAAGGGTGATCTAGGAAAAATTGGAATTAATGCAAATAAATTTCATCGTATGCTCTAAGGCAGAGGTTTACAAACATTTTTCTGCGATCCCTTTTAGAATAAACTTCACCCCACTCAACCCTTTCGACTGACGAGGAAAGGGAGAAATGAGAAAACTCGATGTTCTCCATGAATCATTCTCCATCGAATTTCAAGGATCGGTTCTCGCTTTGCAATGTCGTGTGCCGATTTCAAGGCCATGAATTGTCTGGGGACTTGTAATACTGTGCTTGCCGCAAATTCAACTTCAAAGCTGAAGTGCTAGAGGTATTTTCTCAAGCCGGTACAACGTTCATCCCAAAAGTTTACTGAGAAAATGGCGGCATGCCTTTACTAATGAAGAAATAACGCTAATCCAAATACATGAGCGCCAGGTGAATCTGGAAGAGAATGCGAACATTTTGTGGCCCGGAAAGCCTTTGCCTCAGCCGTCTGGCCGCGGTGTCCTATCTTTTTGTTTTTCACTAACATTCTCCTCCCACTCCAAGTACTGCGTTATGGGGTATCTCGTCATCATCTGAGCATCTGAAAGTCCATCCACTGTGATTCCGAGGTATGTTGAGGGCCCAAAATGTCACGGGAGGAAATGTAGCTTGTTCTCGGGCATTAACTGCCATACATTTAACTCTGGATTCTTTGATTTTTCTTGGAATTTAGAATTATTGCTTTGATGGTGTTTTTTTTATTATAAAAAAAGCTTGCGAGTTTTTACCCTTTGGGCAAGCACACTCGCTGAGGACTCGCCTCCGGCGCTCTATGATCAAAGGAAATTTCTAATACGGTTAAAGCGGTTAAAGGTCACGTCTACACTTTGCTACATGATGAAAACCGATCATTCCAAAAAAAAAACAGTGCTGACATGGGAAAGTGGAAGTGGCGACAAATGTGTCATCAGGAGAGAAGGAACTTTGTGATTGGAGACTGTCGGTCGGGATTCCCGAATCAAATTCTCCGTATTTTCCCCAAATGTCCTCAAAAGAGCGCGCCTCATCTGTCCTATAGGAATGAAAAATGAACTACTTTTAGTGACATCCATCAGGTTCGATTTGGGATTTATTACATTTCAGCATTCGTACCGGCATGCCTGTATGATGAATAACTTCGGTTTGCCCCTCAGGGCATCCACGGTGCTAAACTTTTGAATAATCGTGAGGTGGCGTTCGCCGAAGAGCAGACTTCTCATGTGATGTTTTCCATTAACGGAGTTTCGGAGCACTACTCCAAAACGCAGGACTCGGACCCTAAACCCTCGACCAAGGACACAAGGTTCTCCACGTGTCTGGGATCTGGGAGCTGGCACCTGGGGCGTCGAATTTTGGATTGCTGGCCCTTGGTATCCGTGACTCATGATGACAATGACGCAACAATCGCCGTGCTTTTTCTTCGCGAATTCATTTATATCCTTCTTCATGTCCTGCACGGAATTCAAATAAAATATCCGTAACTAAGTGACACTGTTTACATGCACCCATAATTGCGTGATCCAAATTTAAGTTGCAGGAGCCTAGCACGTTCGTGCGATATCACTTAAATATCATCACCAATTAGGAAGCATAGAGCAAATGAATCCTACGTCAAGCTCCACATAGCCCATGAGATCTTCTTTAGCTTCCTGCGCCAAGTTCCTGCCGCGTTTCTCAGCGAACTCTTTGTTCGTGACCGTGACGGAGAAATTCAACTTCTTGAATAGTTTTTCGATATCCTCCCTATCTTTTTCTGAGCCGTTCCTCTTGGGAAACGCATCAAAATTCCTAATATTCATGATAAGTGCCTGGCCCCGTGGAGTGGATTTCATCTCATACACCTGAAAAGGAAAATATGAATATATTGTAGATATACAGGGTAGGGCAACAATGACAAAACGAATTTGACGTAATATTTCTCCCATTCGAATGGAGCTTTTTTTTTTAACGAAACGTTCATTGTGCATAGATGGATACGTTTCCAACACTTTTTCAGTCAGCTAAGGTTTAAGTAACGAGTTTCCGATATAAACCTTCAACACCTCAAGGCATCTCACGAGAATTCGTCCGGAAAAGAACTTCTCTGAAAAGTAAATGGAAAAGTCCATTTCTCTTACTATTTCTTTGAAAATAGAAAATTTGCTCATAGTAGATTCAGATTTAAATTGATTGATAACTGAAGTTTGAAGGTGTTATGCATAGAACTTCCCTCTCTTCACACTCATGTTCTTGCAATTTGACAACATCACATACCTTCTTATGAACTCAAATTTTAACTACCTTATTGGCATCCTGGATTGGGGCGCCTTTCCCAACAGATGCCATCGAGAAGGAGGCACCATGAGGCCCCGAAGGACGCACGTCTACACCGCCAGGGATGCATCCAAGACCTGTTTGCACATAAATTTTCGCATCGAAACTTGCTAAGTCTAGGCAAATTGGAGCGAAAGAAATTAGGTTTCAAATAATGGATTACATTTTACTCATGCACACATAATCTTTCCTCATTAAAAGAAATCGATTCACGTGGCCTTCAGAAAGGCCTTTGTAGCCAGGCTTAATTTCGTTTTCGCTGCTGTTTCGCAGAGGTCGGCGAGCGACATGCGATTTCTCGTAGTGGAGACATTGGTTCACGCACTTGGATCTGGAGGATACAGAACACGGTTAACACGGGGATCACGAGAAAGTTGCCTACCATCCACCCACCCCTGACCTGTGCTTCACCACCGATGCAAGCAGGAGGCCCCTCCCAGCGACCCGGACGATCTTAGGCTCCATCCCGCATAGCCAACATAGACCAGCGGTCATCGAAATCGGCCATACGATCCCCGTGATAACCAGCGCACCGACACCTCACTGGAATTTCTGGAAGGTGGACTGGCCTGCCTTCACAACCGCCGTTGAAAAAAACACCCACCACATTTCCACAAACCCTGACAAATTCGAGCAATTCGTCATGTTCGTGATGAACGCCGTGAAGAAAACCATCCCGCGCGGTTTCCGGAAGCCCTACACCCTCGGGTGGACAGTTGAAATAGAGGGGCCCTGATTTGGCCACAAAGCTGCTGGACTCCATGCATCAATCAAGGCAAACAAGATGGGCCAAGCTGATGGAGTCCTTTGACTTCACGCACTCGAGCCGCAAAGCCTGGAGCCTCTTGCGGAAACCCGGAAAGACCCCTATGACCAAATATCAGCCGCCCAAGACGAGCGCAGACAGCACTGCCACCCAGCTGGTCTGCAATGCCAAAACAACAGAGAGCAAACAAACGCACTGTCATGTCCGGAACGCGGCCAAAAAAGCACTTCTGGAGTGCGACAAGGACTCCTTCCCCCTCGCCGCCTCGGTCTCTCCCGAAGAAATCAAAGCCGCCATTGCAGCAACAAAAGCCGGCAAAGCAGCAGGAATCGACGGGATTAACCCTAATTCCTGAAGAACCTTGGCGAAAAAGGAAGAGCTTGGTTTGTCAAGCAGATCTTAGGCTCCATCCCGCATAGCCAACATAGACCAGCGGTCATCGAAATCGGCCATACGATCCCCGTGATAACCAGCGCACCGACACCTCACTGGAATTTCTGGAAGGTGGACTGGCCTGCCTTCGCAACCGCCGTTGAAAAAAACACCCACCACATTTCCACAAACCCTGACAAATTCGAGCAATTCGTCATGTTCGTGATGAATGCCGTGAAGAAAACCATCCCGCGCGGTTTCCGGAAGCCCTACACCCCCGGGTGGACAGTTGAAATAGAGGGGCCCTGATTTGGCCACAAAGCTGCTGGACTCCATGCATCAATCAAGGCAAACAAGATCGGCCAAGCTGATGGAGTCCTTAGACTTCACGCACTCGAGCCGCAAAGCCTGGAGCCTCTTGCGGAAACTCGGAAAGACCCCTAAGGCCAAAAATCAGCCGCCCAAGACGAGCGCAGACAGCATTGCCACCCAGCTGGTCTGCAATGCCAAAACAACAGGGAGCAAACAAACGCACCGTCATGTCCGGGACGCGGCCAAAAAAGCACTTCTGGAGTGCGACAAGGACTCCTTCCCCCTCGCCGCCTTGGTCTCTCCCGAAGAAATCAAAGCCGCCATTGCAGCAACAAAAGCCGGCAAAGCAGCAGGAATCGACGGGATTAACCCTAATTCCTGAAGAACCTTGGCGAAAAAGGAAGAGCTTGGTTTGTCAAGCTTTTCATGAAGATCATCGCCTCCGCCAAACTGCCAAAGGCCTGGAGGAAGGCAAAGGTCATCGCGCTCCTCAAGCCAGGTGAAGGAGCCGATGATCCGAGAAGCTATCGGCCAATATCGCTACTCTGCACATCATATATAAGCTGCTGGAGCGAGTGTTCCTGGTCCGTGTGGCCCCGGTCCTGGATGCCGCCACACCACCGGAGCAGGCAAGTTTCCGCCCACACCGAAGCTGCGCCGATCAAGTGCTGGCACTGACCACCCACATCGAGGCCGGATTCCAACGGAGAAAGAAGACCGCAGCCGCCTTCATCGACCTGTCTTCAGCCTATGACACGGTCTGACGCCGTGGTCTTCTCTTGAAGTTCGCCACCACCATCAAGTGCGAAAAAATCGCCACTGTGCTCAGCGATCCCCAGTTCCGAGTTCACCTCGGAAAACAATGCAGCTGCCCACGAACCCTCCAAAATGGTCTGGCACAGGGTTCGGTCTTAGCACCGGCCCTGTTCAACCTTTACACCAGCGATGCCGGTCACGAAGAGCCGCAAGTTGGCTTACGCAAGTGAATTCCAAAAACCTCTAAGGATTTCTCAGACAATTCCTTGCAGGCAAATAGTTCCTTATTAATCGGAAACTAAATCAGTCCAAAACCTCCTGTAGCTAGCTGTGCCACCAATGAGAAAATTTGTTCATCCTAAGGCGCTTATATTTTCTATCAAGGTGGTTGTGTGAAATGCTTTGCCAAATTGCTTGAGATGCAATATCGATGTGAAAATCCGTGGATAGTAATGAAATGAGTGCCTGGGATATTATATCAAATGCGATGTTAGTGAAATTGCGAGATATGCGGTCTTAAGGCTTGCGAAATATATACATACGTGAAATGTGGTTCAATAAGTGAACGTATAATTTTTCCACACTAGCAGCTCCTGCACGATGGTGACAATTATAAATGATTTGCTAAATTAGCAAATTAGAAAGTGATAATGAGACGAATTACAGAAATGATAGAATCCAAAGGTAAAGTGAGTCGAGACTTCTTTTGCTCTCATTATGGAATCCCTAAAAGCCATATATAATGAATCATGTTGCCGCTCGGTAGAATTAGTTTTTGCTCAGTGAAAGCGGGAAAAAGATATTAAACTATTCACTATTCTTCGAAAGGCGAGACGGCAGTCCAATACATGAATATTGGGCAACTCTGTAACTCTGCAACCTTTGCTAGTTAATCTACCCGTGAAAACGGAAATGAACAATTTTGGGCTTAAGCTGAGGAAACATCCAGAAATCGCATTTTGCCAAGTCAGGAGAGTTGATAAGGTGATGAAGATGAGAGAACACGCCCTGCCTGCTACGTAGGACGTCCCCGGCTTTTGCTGGTGAGAGTTAGCATAATCATGGTGAAGCAGCATCTGTCATGTTCTCGTCTTGAGAACTGATGGTAAACATCATCTGAATTCGAAATCCAGGTTTCAAAACTTGAGGTCGACACTCATCTTCTGATAGCCAAATCATGTTCCACAGCATATTTTTCACGGTGAAGAAGGATGTCCAATACGTGTCTCTTGTGGCGTCGGAGAGTCTATTAAGGGCATCAGGCTCAAACATCTCGAGCCATCGATACTAGGATCCTAGTAAAGTATGGCATAACAATGGTCTTAGTGGCTTTGTTCACAGAAGTCCTTGAATGTAAGGATCGAGCTACATCCTCAGTTTCGTTTCGAGCCATGTGCATTTCTTATCCACCCGCCAAACATATCAAAGGAGCAAAAACCCTCGCGATGAACGTCCAACAAGTTCTGATGTATTTTCTTTGCTTGGTGTTAAGGCCTTCAACGTGGGAAGGCATGGAAGGGAGAGCATCACCTCGACTTTGAATTTAGTTGAAAAATTGACCAGGGAAAGTGCAAGGTGGCGCATCAAAAACTCGCAGAGATTTTTGCATCTATTCCTCAATTTCCAGATGAGGCAAATCGAACTACATATGTATCTCTCTCTCCTCTCAACTCCGTGAGAACGATAGATTTATTACTATTAGAGTAAACCCACAGCGGCAGTTCGACTAAGACTCCTCTAAATATTTCATATCACAATTCGGAAGAGCCATGAACAAGCTCGTTATGACTTCGGGCTGACCTTTTTCTTGGCTGACTCATAACTCGAGTATGACGTATTCTTTTAAATTTAAATATCAGGCAATGATACTCCTGATTCCTGGCTTTTGATTGGTTCTGGTCACGTGTGAACTGGCCTCCTCTTGGCTGAGCTGCAACTGTTCAAAGTCAAACAAGTCATTCTCACAGTTTTGTCCCTCACACTCAGCCATACAGAAAATAAAATTATTATCGCTTCATGTCAGGGGTGTCAAACTGGCCAGTCTATTTTGTCTTAAATTTCCATTTTTCCTTTATGTAAGAGCACTCCAATACTGAGGTCTTAGGTCATTGGGCTTCGATGGGAGTGAGGGTTATCTGTATTCGAGAGAAGGCCTTCATGGGCCTTCTCGATCATGAAGGCGCTCAGTAAATATACGGAAATATACGGTTGTATATATTGTACGGTTGTAAATAGTAAATATACGGTTGATCGGAAAACATTTTTACAACCAGCTTCCAAAGTGTTTGTATTTATTGTAACCAAACGATACATGTGCTGCATACTGTAGAGTACTCACGGAGTTCTACTTTTTCACATAATCCTATTGGACGGTGAGCATTTGACCCACCGAGGTATACGATTTTAATTGGTGGCAACGTATAATTCCATTTCTTGCGCAGGCGGTCATTTCTGAATCTCTTTCACCATATCAGCATCCGACCGAAAATGACTGCTGCTAAGGTGCTTTCTCATGAACGGAAACAAATGGAAATCGCTTAGTTGAAGATCAAAGCCGTAGGGTTGGCGCTGAAGGACCCCCCCTGAAGAAAGACCTTGGCGATTTGCCCCAAAATAAGCAACCCATGTAGCAATTTATAGCAAATTTAATTCAGGAGGAAGAACAGCTTGAACTACGGGAACGGGTTGATGACGACATTCTGACAGAGAAACCTGGTCCCCAACCCCATGGGGTTGAGGTACAATAGGGAGAAAAGGCTTAGTGGGAAGGGGGAGGTGTGGTGGTTCACACACACCGTTCCTTGAGAGAGAAACAGACTGAGCCCTGAGGAAAGGAGTTCAAGTCATTTACAGAAAGGTCATTCGATGGAGTTTATAAGTATCGTAGAAATACTTCCCTACGAAGTGAGATACGACTGGTCGTGTAATTGAGTCTGGATGCTGGAAACAACAAACAATTATTTCTTATTGAACACCAAGCGTTCATGTAAACCTTTTTCACTCAGTTTTATACTTCGAAGACGAAGTCTTCGAAGTATAAAACTGACATATTGACTGAATATTTTGACAGAGAAAAAGCCATGCAAAGCGACACAATACAAAATCCATGAAGGTGTACGATCAGGAGGGGAACATAGGGACTGAGTCGTTTCGCCCTCGACTCAGACGGAGACCAGCTTGGCGGAGTTTATTGGTGATGTATTGATGTACAGTGTCCATAAGGGTGACTACCTCCAGGCAAATTTGTTATTATTGACACTGAAGTAGTCAACTCATAAATGTTCTTAAATTACTGAAAGCGTACCAACCCTGGAATCGAGTCGGATCTTTCCTCCTTCCTCACATTGGCTTCGTTAGCCATTCATGTCTTCAGCATTCCTATCCTACCCGTGATCACTTTCCTCAGTGATGATGATGTCCTCAACACGCGCCAAAGTGATCATCATAATCGGGACGTCTTCGAATTTGCTCGAAGCATGGAAGCAAATAAATCGAACAGAATCTTGATCCTGCGTTTGCTATTCGCAGCAAATTCTCCCCCTATCGTCTTTCGGGGGTCTATGAAAAGCCATTCAAAAATGCTTTTCACCGTTCTTCATGTCTTATGAGGATGCAGGATGATACGATATTGCAGCCAACCCCTTCGCTCCTTGCTGGTTTCACCGAAATACCACGGTATTAAGCCACAGTATACCTACCGAGAAATTAATCGCATACCACAACGCTCTAAGTTGATTTCAAGTTTCACCTTGCATCCATCATTAATGTATAAACTAACAATATAGTGCTGGATGGAGAACCTCATAGAAGAGAAAAAAGAATGAAGAAATGAAAAAAGGAAGCGAAAACGACTACACGTATACGTACCTTCGCGCAGTTTTTTGGCGAATTCTTCGTCTTTCCCCTCGATGAAATTCAGTGCTTTACATACAATATCATCGTATCCATTCTCCTTGAGACACTCCAATAAAGTGGGGAAGGCCTTATCCCCTGCACAGCTTATCTGCTGATGAAGAAAGAGCACTTTCTCCTTCTTACTCTTCGGCCTTTTCTCTTGGACCATATCCAACCATTCATTTTTCTTGATAATCTTTTTCATCGACAAGCAAAAGAAGATCTTGTCGAGGTCGACGACATCTTCAAAATCATCATTGAAAGCAAACAACGCATCAGATATTGCTTGATAATTCATGATACTTCCTCAGGCCAGCTGATATCAGTTCATCCAGCACTCCTGCAAGGTAAAGTGAGTTTCCATCATTCTGTTTTAATATATTCTGAAATTCAAATACTCCACAATAAAGTACAGACAAACTGAAAATATGTCACATGAGTGAAAAAGAGGTGGAATAACATGCGTCATGGAATACGGAAGACATTATAAATAGGGCCGGATTAAGAAGTTGGGAGGCCTGGGGCAAATGGATTCTTGGGGCTTCCCTCTCCCCCCCCCCCTCTCTCTCAACAATATATTTTACTAGATGCTGCAAGTAGCTTAGAGGGGCCACACGGTTGAGCGCTGGTAGTGCAAGTTTGTATTTATAACATCTACTTTACGCAAATACTTGACGTTTCCATTTCATTCGGGGACCACCCCCCCCCCGGAACGGGCCGCGGGGCAACAGCCCCTTTGCCCCCCTTAACCCGACCCTGATTATAAAGCATTTGAATGTGTCTCCCGTTGAAGCGGCAACAAAGAAAGTTGCAGGAATTGGATCGCGATAACGGATGGAAAACCAGGATGAGCGTAGCAGGTACACACGATGCATCCTATGCCTCTTATACCGAGGAGCGCGTCGCCCGAATCCTTCATATGCAATCTCTGACTCAATCAAAGGCTGGCTGATAGGTTGGTGGAAACGAATCGAATCTGCTTGCGGTCGTACAAACTTGACAGTAGAGAGTTTTAGCTACCCGTTTTTGAGGACGGGGACGCGAACGTATTACTAGGCGTTCGAGTTCTAGATTTTCCAATGGCAGTTTGATTAAGCGTTCCAGATCTGGAACGGAGAGTAACATCCACGGATCTCATTGCAAATGGTGTGCAAACAACACTTAATTTAAGGGTATGGTCGACTAAGTGATGCACAGCTAAGGTACAACCTGGTAAACTCACAAATCCACAGATATCCAAATGTTATGCATTTCCCCCTTGTGTTGATCTACTGCAATTAAATTGTATTTCCTTAAGAGGGGTTTTCACTCTGGGAATGAATGCCTCAGTCTGCCTATTGGGCTAATGTTCTTGATTCCTTTGTCTGTTCATCATGGTCGCATGTAGATATTGCAACCCTTGGCTACAAACAGAGTTCCTCTGTCCTATCTTCCCATCATTCACCATCACTATTAATATATTATGCTTCCTTTCTGACCGTCTCTCACGGCCAAGTAACCGAAGCTCACGTCTGGGTTGCATCCTATCTTTCTGATGGGGAAGAGGAAATGTCAGTTGCTGTCTTGGGGATATTTGGCTAAAACTCAAGTTGTGGATGTGAGACAATTGCCAAGAAACCCATCTCGAGCAAAACGTACATTTTCATAAGTCGGGAAACTCTTGTTGCAGACGCGATACAATTGTCTATAAATCCAACCTGGGCATACTGTGCCTTGAATTTCAGCTGCTTCGCCAACAATATTTGCTTTCCTTCCTGGATGACTGACTTGAACGAATCACGCGTTTTACCGAAGCTCACGCGCTTATCAAGTCGTTCCTGATGTTCCGTCGCGTTCACGTTCCTGAGAGAACGGCTGGAAGAGTCCCTCCACGTCTTAGACGTCTTCCTCACGAGTTATAAAACTGCTAGTGACGTCAGCCGTCCTACATCCCTTGCCGTCCTCTCAAGAACGGGTAACTAAAAACTCTCCAGTGTTGCTTTTGAACGCGTCTCCAAGTGCTGGTTTCATCACTACTTGGAAAATCGTTTGGGAAGCCAATTATTAACAGATACTTATCATATTTGACCAATTACCATCGTCCATACCCATTGAGGACAACCATCCTTTGCTGACGTCACAAAAACACGAGCGGTTCGAATTCACCAAATGCGGATTAGGGCATTTCACACGCAGTCCTTTCACCTTCACACGTCAATACTTTCTCGAAAAATGTTTTATCAGCTTCATTAGGTTTTGCACCACCTGTCAGAATCGGCTATTTTTCTTTGATTGTCACATCCCTCTTAGTGCAACTACGGTAGAAGGTTTACAGCATGGGTTTAAATAGGAGTGTTATATTAAGGGACGACAAGACTTAAAATTTCGAGTTGTTATTGGGGGCGGATCAGACACTATTTGGGATGCAATCGTTATGCTGTGAAGCAAAACTAATTTAAAAAAAAACAAAAAAAACAAGATATATCGACTCTGTCTCCGACACTGACATTAGGGAAAGATGTCTCCGATATATTTACCTAATAACTCCGGCTAATTCATTATGTTCATGTAGTAATGTGAAAACCAATTTCAACGGTTTACCTTTCTTCAACCCAACCTCACCCTCACCCTCCCACACCTTCTCTACGGAACTCACTAACGTTAGGCCTAGGACTACCTTTTTTCGTTCAAAAGAAACTCAACCCTCGACCTACGGACCAATTAGGCCTATAAGGATTAATCCCTGGTCTTCGAGATACCTCGTTGAGGACGTGTAACGTTAGGCCAATCGTAGGCCTATTCAGTCACTCATAGCACATTTAACAATGAACGTGTAAGGCCAGGCCAAAGGTAGGTCTTTTATGAGTTTCATGAGCCATTTCGGTGCGGTCGGGGAACATTAGACCTACCCAGAGTTCCTCGAATCGACTCGTTCTGAGAAGGTGCCTTCAGAAAGCATGACATTGAAGCTGGCCGCCATCATGTTAATTGAGGGATGTCCGAATGAGATATCTCCGTATTCCACCAAATCGATCGGTCACTGCAAAACACCGCTTCAATCTTAGCTTATCCCATGAATTCAGCAAATTAATGTCTCCTACATTAAAAAGAGAAGATCCAGACAACGAAACTAAGGCTGATGAAGTCATGAATCTGGGATAACTAAGGCATGTTATCCGGCAACACTGGAGGACGGGACTGGCCCATCGCGCTTAGCCTACATTAACGGCATCTAATTTCATTTTTAATGGTAAAATGGTGCACTGAAACAGAAAAAATAGACTTTTGTCACCTCCAGGTCAATATCTTTCGTTTGGTTGGCCTCTCTCCTCCAAAAACTTCCCAGGGGCGAAAAAAAAAAATACTGGAACGACTTTCACATTTCCCAAAAGCGAGATTCAGTGATCTCTACAACCCTGGAGAGATGGAATTTCAAATTTGCTGGAGTGATTCTGTGCCGATAGAGGAAGAAGTATGCCAAATTTAATTCACGTCGATGCTCTCAGAGAGGAATACGAGATGGTTGAATTTTGTCGCCGGAATGGGTTGAAGTATGGTAATGGGCGCTACCGTGTCCATTGATAATCATCAGAGACTGGAGGTCCGACTTAAATATATGATAAACATTTTTTTCCTTTGTCTCTGAAGCGCCGGAGAAGGGAAAGGAGAAAATTCGGGAAGGTAGACCTTCCCCTTATCAAGCTGCGCCTTCCTCTGTTTCGTCCATATTTTTTTCACTCCGCTTTGTACTGTCGCTGAGCTGCAGAATTGTCAAGTGTGTTATACGTGGCTCGATGTCAAATCTTTTTCAGGCTCTGATTCTTCTGTCTCTCCTTGATGCGTCAGATTTCCGGGGAAAAGCATAGGTCACGCATTCTATGGATTGTCCGACCTAGAAATGAATTACTTCTCAAGTAACGGCCTACCCATTACTAACTTCTTCAGATACAACATATAGGGAACCCCAGAATTTCCTAGACTTTCCGCCTAGCCTATGCCCTAAACGCATTTGCTATATTAGCCTAAGGCAAGAGAACTAAAAGACTTTCTTTCTAGGTCATGAGCTAGGCGGAAGGACCTATGTCTAGGCGATTCTGGGACATCCAGTATATACAGGACCGCATTAAAAAAAATGGGACTATGAAATTCTTTCCTAAACGCTTACTAACTCCCAAGTCTAATGGTCATTTAGAAAGAGGGAAAAGATAGCCAGGCGCACTCACGCTTATGGAGGAAAGGCGAAAGTAAGGTGTTCTGTAAACAGGGGAAATCTTGACGGGAAAATAGATACAGAAGAGAATGAACTGTGCGTAGGAATCGATTGGAACAGATGGCTTCCCTCCGATATCCTCTCAAAGCAGCTGGGGACGATGGCACTGTGCGTGATACGGCACGCAAGCTGGGAAGACCTCGCGATCCTACTTTTGCTCTTTGATGATCACCAGCTTCTCTTCCAGGAAATACAGGATGAATCATATGTACGCACGCGCACCCTCGCGCGCATGCACGTACCCCCACACACGCAAGAACAGACGCCCACGGTGTTGCAGCAGTCCCTTGCGTCTTGCTGGGGGCTAGCTATGCCAGCGCATTCACGCTAGTGTGAAAAATCGTCCTCGTGTACCAAATGCGTTTGTTACTGTATTTGCACGAAGTACTGTAGCTTACAGATTTGCATGAAATGGGTTGTGGCTTGATTCCCCCAAGAGTATGGAAAAACCAGGCATGCCTCATTAAATTGAGCATGAGCTAGGGACTACACATGAATATTAGCGCTTGGGCCGAATCCGAGCCGAACGCTGACGCACATTCAGACCGAGAGACGCGGATCGCCCACTGTTCCAGTGGCATACTGTATATATAGATACAAACCCTCCTCGATCTCAGCACTCACTGGTAAGGCATGTGAAGACGCGTGAGAGCGTGAAGACGCGTGAAGGCGCGTGAAAGTCCACCGTTCTCTCTCGTAGTTCTGAACAATTTACACTGATATTCCAACTTGTGGACAAATAAACTTTAGCTTGGCACGATTGAATAATTTGGCGATATACCCACTTCTGTAAAAGCTCACCTAGGCCTCTTCTATTCATGTATTTCTGTAGTATATCCCGAGGAATGGATGGCCGTGGGCTGACTTGCATGGCGCGCTCATTGGGAAGCTACCTACTTTCCTGCAATTTAATATAATATTCCTTGGGGTGGGATATTTTTCCTTTTCTAGGATCATCAATAGAGACGACGTATTTTTTTCTCGAAATATCTTGAGGATGCATAATTAAAAAAAGGAGCTATACGAGGTATACAAAAGCCTAAGTCATGCCCCTCAATCCTGGATTTAAATTTGAAGAAGAAAACAGAGGCGCGACGTTCGTGTTGGACACAAAGAGGCACTTTTATTTAGTGTAAAGCTCCTTCTCAATGTCGAGCGCTCTTATATGATGATAGGATTATCCCTCTTCAATATGAATATGTTTGCGAAACTACATGCACCTGCTTATGTTGTGTACTATTCGATCCTGAAAAATACTGAATATCAATGGGCCCGGTAGCGCACATTACCTTTCTTCATCCCCTTCCGGCGACAAAATTCGACCGTCTCGTATTCCTCTCTGAGAGCATCATCAGGAACGAAAGTTTACATACTTCTTTATGTCTCAACCCAGAACCGCTCCGGCAAATATGAAGCTCTGTCTCCACGGGGTTGTGGAGATTGATGAATTTCGTTCCGGTATTTTCTTCCTCTCACCCCGTGGGTAGCCGCTCCTGGGAAGTTTTTAGACGAAAAAGACCAAACGAAAGTTATTGACCTGTAGTTGACAGAAAGTCCCCTTTTTTTGCTTTTAGTGTATCATTTCACCATAAAAATTAAATTAGATGACGTTAATTCAGGCTTAGGGCAACGGCTCCGATCCCGTCCTCCAGTACTGCCGGATATCATGTCGGCGTTATGTCAGATTCATTCTTCTCTTTTTAATGTAGGAAACATTACTGTGCTGAATTTATGGGATGAGCTAAGATTGAATCGGTGGTTTGCAGTGGCCGATCGATTTGATGATACGGAGATACCTCATTCGGACATCCCTCATTTAACATGATGGCGGCCAGCTCTTATGTCATGCTTTCTAATGGAACTTTCTTCTCAGAACGAGTCGAAACGATTCCAGGAGCTCTGGATTGATCAAGAGAGCATTCTTATCTCTCGCGATCTCACTCTAGTTACCACTTTGCTCGCAGAAGGCACAGGGATACGCATGGACACGCACACTCACACGTCCAAACGCTCAGACAGATCCACGCACACACATCCTCTCGCACAAGCTAGTGCAGACGCTAGCCATTAGTGCAGGGGACCCTTGCGTCTTTTTAGCGGTTGGAGGTCGTTCGCGTGGGGGATTCTCGAATGAAACATCGGCTTCGTGTATCGACCGCGTTCGTTACTGAAATAAGGTTCAACTACCCATCCGAGAGGGCAAGAACCAGGCTAGCCCCTCGAGATGAGAGGACTAAAAATAGATATTGTAAAATTGTATCACTTGGGCTGAATCCAAGCGGAACGCGTAAGCACATCCGGACGACGGGGCATGCGAAACGCACTCTCGTAACAAAGCAGATCCCCGCTCGCTCTCGGCAGTCTCTGTCCAGGCATCAACATGCGACACAGAAGAGGGGGCCGTGTATTCTTGCGCCGACGGAGAATTTCCGGGATGATTCATTCATTGACAAATGAAATGACTTATATTTCGCTTCGGACGTGTGCAATTTTTATTAAGTTACTCGGGTTGAGGATATGGTCTAATCCATGCCCTCGATCATTTTATGATAATAGCGAAATCCATTTATGCCTATTCGTGGCCCAGTTCGGGCCACGAATAGGCATATTTTTACTCATTATAATGGTGACGAGCCCGAACCAATAAGACAGCAGAAGGAAATAAGGAAGATATTGGGCAATCCAGGGAAGATCCGGGGTGAAAGTGGAGGAGGAGGGGGAGATGAGGGAGAAGTCAGAGAGAGGAACGGCTTGTGAGGTGGGGTGGGAATCGAGTAGAGATTGGTTTGTGAGATTGTTGATTCCGTGTCCCTGGTGGTATGTCCTTTTATCTCTTCATCCTTCCTAATATTTTTCAATACTAATGTAAATGTACTGTATGTTTGTTCTGAGGCCCCGATGTTGGTTTTCCTTTCTTGACTTGCTGAATCGAACCCGAGATACTTACAAATTCTCAGTCAGGTGTTGACTGGGGATTAATTCCAATTCAATACGTGACACTAGAGAGCAGAACTCACTCTCCTCATGCACCCGCTATGGCGTATGGCCTCAGGCACGTCGTTCGCGAAAAGGGGGGAACAGGGTTCCATTTACTCAGGATCCCCCATAGATGATTCTATGATACTAGAGGCGTATGGCCGCAATTGCGGCCTTCAACCCGTACATATACTTTTTTCTCATCAATTAAGAACAGTCTTGGCCAGATTTCAGCTGCCAAAATGTCATCTATCATACGATAGAACAGATATGCATCAAAGAGATGCTGATGCACAGCGTGCTACATCTGCCAATATTCGCAAATTATAACCAAAATTAGTTCAACATGAGTTTAGTAATAGAAATGGAAGAAACTATGAAAGATAAAAAACGGGACACTCGTGCGAACGAAGCAGAAAGTATATATATATAATAATGAACAAAAAAAATCCCAATTAACGGATTGGACAAAGTAAGAAGTGCCTCTTCAAACACCACATCTTCGGTAAAAGTGGCATCAGTTTTGTCCTCTTTCGGTCCAATCGATAACCTTTTTCTTCCGCAAATACACATAGCGAATTCGCGAGCAAGCAATGTACAGATGGTATGCATGGACACTGCCTCCGTAATTATAAATCCCACTCGATATTATGTCTGTCCCCAAGACTTGTTCATAGTCCTACCGTTGGTAAGCTCGATACTGAATCGACGTTGACAAAGAGGGAACGGTATGCTGACTTGGGTTGACGTGTCCAGTGAAATTCCAGGGAGCAAGTGAACGCAGCCGCAAAGCGCATCTGTGATCACCTAAACTACTATGGGTGTTCAAATGATATGGGACTTATAGTCCCCAACCCTCGGCAAGCCTTAGAGTATGAGAAACAGCCATTGCCCCCTTTTCATTCGAAACCCCCTGATATTAACGCATTGCGAATCGGACATTTTACCCCATAGATCCGCCGCTGTGACCTAAGCCACAGTTACCTTAGCCTAAAGTTTGATGCCCATAAGGCAATGACTTTTTCGGCCATAGGCTTTGCGAAAGGACTCAAACAGAACAGTGCGAGAGCTCCAGTTTTTAGGCTTAGGACGTGCGGAAAGAGACCCAGAGTATTGAGATCGTCGAAGGATTCAACCAGAAAGGTGGCCTTGCGATCGCGCCGATCGCAATCATCCCCGCCATGAATGTACTTCACAATGTCGATACTGTGATGTGTCCACAATTCGCCTTGTGCAAATGTTTCACTGCCCACATCCAGTAAATACAATTTCGTTTGCAGCAGCACACTTTTTTCTCTTAATCGACTCCTTTGAAATAATGGCCCCAACAGGCCCATTTCGAGGCAAGTCAATGATTTAACCGCGAGATGCTTTACGACGCCTGGCAACATTTGGCGAATGTAATGAATGTACCCAGCACAATTACTTTCCCACCGAATCTGTCATCGTCCATCTAGTCTCGCAACGCCCGTTCCAGTGTTGCCAGCCTTTCAGCGAGCGCCATGGTCGCCTCATCCCAAATGATGACGTCGGAGGCTCAAATCATCGCCTGATTTTTTGCGCGATGAACGACACGTTTCATGCTTGAGCATATCCAATGGCAATTCGAAGGCTGTGGGATGCGTCATCCCACCAGGCAGCAAAATTGCTGAAATACCAGTCGCCACGCTCAAAACATTGTACACCTCACTGCATTATGTGAAATCGTGTAGTGTACTGGAATTATTCCCAGTCCCACCTGTCCAATCGATAAAAAGCAGCGACGCACTTCCCGATCCGAATTTTCATGCGCCGCTGCATTTGAATCACTTAATCTGTATGGCAAACGTAGAGTTGAGCATACGCTATTTACTGACTAATTTAGCAGGGAAACGACCTCATCAAATGGATGTAGACGTGACGTAGCGAAGTGATAGACCACGCCGGATGTTTTGAAGCAGTAAAGACCATTATCGGTAATGTCAACAATAGTTGCACCAAAAGGAAGCAAATGCGTTTGCGCTGTTGTACTGTCAGTTAAACTCATGAAAATTGCGAGCATTTTCATTTTCCCCATCGACAACATTTTCAACTCTGGCGAAAACTCCAATGGGTTCAAATGGATGATCATGAGAAGAACCTTGCCGAAGTCTGCCTTTCCCCCCCCTAGAAATGAAAATCC